TTAGTTCGTGCGTCGGAAACTTCAAACGAACTACAATTACGAGACCTCTTTGATTGTGACTCCGACGATGTTAGTGCGTTAATCCATTTTGGATCTTGCTTGACAATCTCTCAAATTTTTTCAAACTCGAAAGTGTGCCCCATTTCCACTTGATATTGTTCCTGTGTAGCTTTGTACACATCAAAATCATTCGCACCACTTTGCTTTTTGGAATTCTAGTCTAATGAAAATCTCATTAAACTTGGTGCACCAACGACCGATCGCAATCCACTTGCTACTAAGCGTATCGATATTGCGATATGATTGTTTCTTCATAAGCGCGTGGAATTTTCCGAGCACGAATTCCCAAAACCCAACTCTTCACATATAATTTCCTACGGTTGAACACTTTGAAGTCTCGCACCACGCCACCGCCAACGTGCACTCCTCTTCCGGTGTGCACTAAAGTGGAGGTTCTTCTTCACTTGTCGCGACTGTCCCTTTTCTTTTCCCTTTCCCTTTCCCTCTCTATTCCTCACTACCTCCCTCTTGTGTTTCGAGAACAAATGTTGGTTGTGTGGGTGGTGGTTGTATGGTTGTTTGTTACATGGAAGCGAAAGCACTGAAAATGTTTTGTTGAAGATTTGAGTTTTGTTGCATGTAAGGGGGATATAGGAAATTGCAGTGGTGGTGAGTTCGGAGTAAAAAAGTTTCCTTGAAGCAGTATTTGTGATTATATGGACGGATGTGTTTGTATTTGGATGCAGGGTGTTCGGGTTTTACTCCATACTTGATTGAAAGGAAAAATGGTTTTTTTTTTTAAAGTTGAAAGAAGTATGAAGATGAGAGAAGATTATGTATTTAAAAATTATGTATATGTATGTAAAATAAAACAAGTTCAATTTTTTTTTTGTTTTACCTAATGACCGTTCACCAACGTCATATTTTTGACCGTTCACCGTGTTACGTTTCGTTATGTGGGCAATGGAAGGCAATGAAATCGACGATAATGGACGAAAACGAAATAGGGGGTGGTGTGTAGCCATGATCACGACGTTTTTGTCAAGCCACGTCACAAAAACGAAGTTGGCGTTGCCCACACCCGTCGCTCTAAATGATTGAGAAAAAAGACCAACTCAGACATGCAACGCAAGGATGAAAACGTTTACGAAAATACGTCCAACTTCGACTGGCCTTATATATCACTTTAGCTACCACGTATGTAAAAATAAAAAATTAAAAACTCATACAACTATTTATGCATGAGGTATCAATCGCATTTGCTTTGGCTTCTAGTAAGGTCTTAGAAAAACACATGAATAGAAAGTAATAATACAATAGGATACTGAAAATGAAAAGTCATACTAGTTAATGTGCAAAAGTGGTCATAAATGCAATTTGTACATATTTCTTGAATTGTGGATGTGTAGCTCTGGACCATTTTCCATTCCTGCATCGCGGTCCTTCATCTTACCACAGCCAACCTGCCATCACGAACCATTCGGGTCCCAAGTTGCTTTATTTCTCTTTAAGTCACATAGATCGAAAAGATGAAGTTGACCTAAATAAGATCAATTTTTTGCTCTAATTATATTAACTATTTTCTTTAAAAGTAGCCAAAATTATAAGAAATGACACAATAGTTAATCGGCTGCAATTTTATTTATGGACTGTAATTTATAATGTTATGCATTAAACACAGTGGCGGACCCTCATAGGGGCCTGAGGGGGTCATGGCCTCCCCGGGGGTCATGGACTGTAATTTGTTTATTGCTATTTGTTAATTGTTTCTAAATTTGATTGTGCAGTTTATATGAACATGAAAAAACAACCTACTATTGATGGATTTTTCAAAAGAAAACAATCAAGTTCTACTCAAGATTCCGAAAACCCACCAAATATTGTTTTGGATGAAGATACCCCCACGCCTGATGTTCCTATTACTGAAAACCGTTTCAAAAAACCTCATCTTGAAAATAATGAAATTGATCTTAGTACACTAGAACGAGATCCTGGTTTGCGTAAGCAAATTTATGATTATCCAATTAATCAACGAGATACTATTATACGAGCATATATTAATCATGGTCCCTTTCAACAAACTCTTTCTGTATATCCTAAATCTGGACCAGAAAACCCATAAACGTAGTTTTCAAGCTTCTTGGTTTAAGTTATATCCTTGGCTTGAATATTCAAAGAGCGTAGATGTTGCATTTTGTTTTCCATGTTTTCTATTCAACAAGCCTTCTGGAATGGGACACTATGGCCAACGAGCATTTACTATAGATGGATTTCATAACTGGAAGAAAGTTGGTGGAAAAAATTGCTCCTTTTTGAATCACATAGGGACTGAGTGTACATCTTTTCACAATGTTGCACAAAAATCATGTGATGATTTGTTAAATGAGACGCAAAATATACGAAATGTGTTTGAGGCATTTACAGAAGAGGAGCATAAAAATAATAGATTGAGATTGAAGGCTACTATTTATACAGTCCGTTTATGTGCATTTCAAGGAATTGCATATAGAGGCCACGATGAAGGATCAGATTCCATAACACAAAGGAAATTTTCGTGAAATATTGAAGGCACTTGGCGTTTTTAATACAGAGATGGAAGAATTGTTTCGTACTGCTCCTAAACATGCATTATATACATCACCATCAATTCAAAAAGAGATTTTAAACCTTATCTCAACCAGGGTGAGGAGGATGATTTGTGAGGAGATTAATGGAGGAAAATTTTGTTTAGTTGTTGATGAAGCACATGATCAGTCTAATAAAGAACAAATGTCAATTGTTTTGAGATTCTTAAATAAAGATGGCTTCATTATGGAGTGTTTCTTTGGGCTTGTTCATGTACCTGACACTACATCACAAACTCTTAAGAATGCAATTTATTCTGTATTGTCATATAACAATCTTGATCTTAAGTCAATTCGTGGTCAAGGCTATGATGGTGCAAGTAATATGCGAGGTCATTTCAAGGGTTTGCAAGCATTGATTTCAAATGATTGTCCATATGCATATTATGTTCATTGTTTTGCACATCGATTACAATTAGCATTAATGGCTGCTTCCCAAGGAGTTGTTGCATTACAGAAGTTTTTTACTCGATTATCTTTTGTTATCAATGTTATTGGTGCTTCCTCCAAGCGTACCGACCAACTTAGAGATGCACAAGCTGAGGAAATTGCATATAAGATTTCTATTGATGAGTTAGAGACAGGTAGATGTCTTAATCAAATTGGTACATTACAACGAGCTGGCGATACTAGATGGAGTTCTCACCTCAAATCAGTTTCGAGCTTAATTAAAATGTTTAGTCCAACTTGTGAGGTTTTACTTAAAATTATTAAAGATGGCACCGGTCCAATCAAAGGCGACGCAGATTCAGCACATGAGGCTATTACTACATTTGAGTTCATTTTTGTTCTTCATCTCGAGAAATAAATAATGGAGATTACTGATTTACTTTGTCAAGCTTTACAAAGACAATCTCAAGATATTTGTAATGCATTGAGGCTAGTTGCATCCACCAAATTGTTATTGCAAAAAATGAAAGATGAAAGATGGGATGGTTTGTTGTCTCTTGTTATGTCGTTTTGTCAGGAACGCAACATTGATATCCCTGATATGTCTTCTCCATACTTTAGTAGAGGGGCTCGAGCACGTAACGAGCATAGTGATCATACACTTGAGCATCATTACCGGGTGGATATATTTTATGAAGCAATTAATTGTCAATTAATGGAACTAAATCATCGATTCAATGATAGATCAACGAAGTTGCTTCGACTTTCAACAACTTTAGATCCTAAAAGTGTCGATGAGCCTTTTCGAAGTGGTGATGTGATTAAGTTAGTAGAGAAGTTGTATCCCGAAGATTTCAATAAACAAGAGAAAGTAGTTTTGAAGATACAACTTCAACATTATGAGATTGATGTCGTTCAACATGTAGATTATAAACTATTGACATCTATATCAGAATTGTGTCAATGGTTGATAAAGACAAAAAGAGTGGCGAACTTTCATCTTATTTATCGAGTAGCGAGTCTCATACTTACTCTTCCAGTTTCTACTGCTACAACGGAGAGGTCATTTTCGGCAATGAACCTCATTAAAACAAGGTTACGGAATAAAATGGAAGACGAGTTTTTGAATGACTCATTGGTTTTGCACTTCGAACGAGAACTTGCTGAAAAAATTAGTTTAGACACAATTGTACAAGACTTTAAAAATGCAAAAGATCGTCGTGTTCCACTTTGAAAAACGATGTAACAATATTTATATTAGTTTTCATGTTTACAATTTTAATATGTCATAGTTTTGCACAAAATAAAACTTGCTTATATATTTTAATTATGAAGTTTTGATTCCGGCCCCCTATTTGTAGTGCTTGTGTTCCGCCCTACAATCTCACTTAAAAAGATGATATAACATATGAGATTGAGGAGAACAAATCATATATAAGGCAGAGGAAATCACAGATAACCAAATGGTGTCTGTGATTTATCATATGCCAAATTAGGTAAATTCGTTTTTATGTATTTTATACTTTGAAATCACAATCCAAATGCCGAAATTACATACCATGATTTTGATGGCTATATCTACCGTTTTTTTTTTCTTTTCTTATTTGAAGGAATATTTTCAAAGAATATTCTAGATTTGGTTTTTTCTCTTAAAAGAATAAAGTATTATTTTAAAATTAAGTTCATATAAAAGTAAATTACTGAAATTATACCTTTACTCCCTTTTTTTGCATTTAAATTTCATATTGATTTTCATTTTCATTTTGATTTTCATGTAACTGATTATGATTTTAGAATCCTAACTCACGTTATATATATATATAATATATATATATATATATATATATATATATATATATATATATATATATATATATATATATAATTTAATTTAAAAATAAAAGAAAAAAATGTTATTGATCTCAAGCCAAAGAGGATGAAGACGGTGACTACAAAATAAGACATTGCATGGATTTATATGGATATAAGAAGATGACCAAGACGGTATGTGAAGAGGATGAAGACGTTAAAGGATTTGAAATCAATTTTCATGGTTTAATAGTGGTATATGAATAGGATGATGACGAGAAGGATCTAAAATTAATTTCAAGGATCGTGGGTTTGGTGATGGTCGTTGGAGGATCTGAAATCGAGCAACAATAAAGAAACTGAACAGAAAAAAGAGCAAATTTCCATCCTTGTTTAGTAGAAATCAAACAAAGGTGTACATCTAATGGTTTCATGTCATCGATGGTGGAGATGGTCCAATGGTTGCAATGGTCTAGTGGTTTTTGACAGCCGATGGTGGATTTACAGTGTAGATCGGCAGGTGGTCTAGTTGTTTCGAGCGGTATGGTGGTGGATCTAAAATCGAGAAACAATTGGTGGTGATTACTGGAGGATCTGAAATCAACCAACAATGGTAAAATTTAGTATAAAAATAGCAAATTCGCCTCATCGAAGTATTAGAAGTTAAACAACAGTGCAGAAATCGAGCAACAATCGAGAAAGGTGACATTAATGTTTTTCTATTTTTATTTTCAGGATTCAAGTCTTCATCATTCTCCCATAGTGCATAGGGTAATCCTCCATCCCTTAATTCAAAAAAAGTTGAAGGTATGAATGTTGATGTTGGTTCCCCTGATCAAGATACACATTTTCATAATTCTCCACCTCTGGTCCAACCTAATCCCACCTCATCCGCTACTTCTCCAAACCTTAACAACCAGATCCTCACATCACTTAACACACTGATTGGGTTATCTCAACTCTTTTCAGATCGATTGGATCATCTCGAGGCTGACGTTGCTGAAATCAAACAAGTTGTGTGACCCCCTAACACTTTCGCCTTTGTTCATCCTCCTCCTCCCAACAATCATCCGCCACCGCCACCACCTCCTCCAACACATCCTCCACCTCCTCTTCATCCCTCAAATCTACTTTCTGATGGGATATGAGCCATCGTCAAAGACCAAATCGGGACAACAGAAGCAACAATATTTTCTGGTATGTGGACTTGTAACAACTAGCTATGACACAAACAATCTATGCAACTTTATGGACTTAATAGAACGAATCATGCCTTCGTGTTTTTCTTCGACTTCTTAGGTCTCGCCAGTTAATCGAACTTGAGAACCCAACATAGATTTCCTCTCTTGTGATCACACCCAAGACGCAAAACACCAACAGGTTTGAAAGTAACTCAAGAACAAGCAGGAATACGACTCGATTAAAGAATCAGGCAACAACCACGACGTGGAAAACGATGTACCACAACGTGGCGAACGAGATCTAACTATTATAGGGTTTTTCTTTAGATTTTCAAACTTTGGTGGTGAAAGACTAATTTCTTATGCATCAAAAACCAGATTTTGACACTTTCTATATATAGGGAGGTGATTTGAAACCCTATAGATAATTAATTACCAAATATAGTTGTAATTATCTACGCTTTTGGTAATCAACCAAGTATCAAATCATTCTAGAATATTCCATATTATTTATATTTCTGATAAATTAATTAAACTATTAATTAATTAACAAAACAAGTCCCTAAAATAAATATCTTTTAGTTCTTCTTTACTCTCCTCTTGCGTGTAACCCAAAAAGACACTACTATTTATAGTAATATTACCGGCTAGTTATGTGAAAGACCCTCACTTTCGTATTTCTGAAAGACCCAAACTTTCATACTTTGACAGTATAGTTATTCCAAAACATGCTACATGCATATTTATAAAACAATATCTTACATTGATAAAGTGATTACAAAAGATTCGATACAAACCGACTAAGTTTTATTATTTTACATAACTACCCAGGATATTGTAATTTTTTTATACAAACATAAACCGAAATACAAAAGTAATATTACAACTATTCTAAACCTTCCAACAGTATATGACTATACTGGTTACTTATTCCCTGCAAATTTGTTAAACATTGAGAGGGTAAGCGGTGACGCTTAGTGAGTTCAATAATAGATACAATATAACGTTATGCCATATATATATATATATATATATATATATATATATATATATACTTCAATATGGCAGAAGCAAAGAGGAACAATGAACAACAAAGGCATATGTGAATCATGTGACAAACTTTCAATATTAATCATTGATTTGATTCAAAAATATACAATCAATGAGACATAACAATTTCCATACTTGATATACATCAATAAAGCTTTGGCCCAAATGGCACAGAAGACATACACTTTCTGATTAAACATTTTGGTAGATTTCAGGCTTTCAGCCCTGTCTAACCTTCTGCCAATGCCATAGAATAGAAGTCATTCTCTTACGGAGACATGCTCTACATGGCCAGAGGCTACATACCAGTACCATTGTGAATCTAAGTCCTTTCACTGATCACATGGTCAAAGGTATAACTTTGCTACTAAAAATAGCGAATAAAAATAACACGGGAAAATAACCCGGAATAATAACACTGAAAAACACATAGCACATATAACACATAACATACAATTGTTCCTATATATTAAACTCACCTTGAAATAACCGGGGGTCAAAATAATAATTTGTGCAGCATTTCGACTCTAAATATGACTTTATTCGTTGAAAACCGGGAGATTTATTGAAAAACCGGGAGATTTATTGAAAAACCGGGCTCTACGAAGGTAGAGATTCAAACCGAAAAGATAAATTTTTCGGGCTTCTCGGGAACTTCGGGACGTGTTTCGGGTGCTAAAAATGATATCGGGGCTTCGGGGGATGTCAAAATAATAAAAATATGGATTTAGGGGTGAAAAATGGAAAAAATCCCATTTTACCCGGGTAATCTCGCCAAAGTCTCCTATTTATAGGGGTGAGGTCCGAAGGTCGGCCGAGAAGAGGCGGTGCCAGCGAGGGGCTCGGACGCGACACGCGTCGCACATGTGAAGGCAGCAGGTGGCAGGCTGCGAGGGTCTCCAGGTGTCTCGCATGCGAGGGGCCAGCGAGGCTCGGAAGGACACGCGGCTCGTGCGAGAGCTCGCCACCGAAGCCATACGTGTAGTCAGAGGATTGGACCGCAGCTCGGACTCGGAAGGATCGCGACACGCGTCGGACACGAAGCAGGTGACTCACCAAGATCGGATGACGTGGCATGCTTATCGCGAAAATTCTCGGAAATTGTGTCCAATCTTGTAAAATCCATAACTTTCTCATACGGCTCCGTTTTTTGACGTTCTTTATATGCACGCGTAGGGAAAATTATGCTCTACAACTTTTGTTTAGACTTCATCGGAAAATTTTGAATTTATTTTAATATTATTATTTTTAACAGACCAGGGCTGGTAAATCCGTTAAAAATTCATAACTTCTTCATCCGACGTCCGTTTTCGTCAGACTTTTTACCGTTGTACTGCTAATGACGAGACTTTCGATTCTCATTTAGTTTGTGTCGGCTAAAATCACTCGATCTAAAATTCGAGTTTTAATGATGTCGCTGCTAAGCTGAAACTTAAAAAATCATAACTTCCTCATACGAAGTCAGATTTTGGCGTTCTTTTGATCAAAATTCTTGGTTTAACGAATACTAAGACTTCCATTTAGATCACTAAGGCTAAAAAGTAGTTTATCAAAAACTCACTTTTTACATCATTCGGCGCTGGGCCGGTTTTGTCGCGGATCTTCGATTGGTCATAACTTATTCGTTATAACTTGGATTTCGATGAGGTTTTCGCCTAAATGTTTCTAACGAGATTATCTACAAATTTCATAATAAAATTTTACTTATTCAAATTTTTATTTTTCGTTAAATTTCACTATTTGGCTTTAATTGGAATCTCATAAGACTTCCAATATTTTATGAGTGATTCTAAACAAGTTTTACTTCATTCTAGTAAAAACTATCTGTTAGAACTCAACACTCATTTCACATAATATTTCATAATATATTAACTTTTCAAATTACATAACCGATTTCAAAACATGTATGTCAAATACCCCTCCTCATTTGAGATTTCGTCCCCGAAATCACAACGATTAGACAAATGAGGATATTTCGCTCTATCTCATCTTATTTTTCCTAAGTATAGTTTGGCCTCGATGGTGTTTTCCACTGACAAGCACCAACTTCACTTCTTTATTACGTAGATTAGTCGTTCTTTCATTTACGATCTTTTCAGGGTTTTCTACATATCTTAACTTATTATCCAATTTCTCTTAGGATAACGGAATCGCTTCATCATATACGCTCAAGCATTTGCACAGATAACTCACATGAAATACATCATGAATACCTGCCAAATCTTCAAGCAATTTCCAAGCGATATGCTTGTTGACCAATTCTCTACATATTTTTGAAAAGTCCAACAAATCTAGGACTCAATCTCCTTTCTTCTCTCAATTTCATAATACCTTTCCACGGGGATACCTTCAGTATCACTCACTTGGAATTCTATGGGTCGTCTTCTCTTTACTAATAGGACTTTTGTCGATCATGGGCCACTTTTATTCTTTCTCGTATAATTTGAATCTTATCAGTGGTGTCTTGAATCATTTCAGGACCACCAAGGATTTTCTGTCCTACATTATGCCAACATAATGGTGTTCACAGTTACTATCGAACTCTAAGACACATGCACGAAGCATATCTTCTACTGTTTGGATTGTTCTCTCCGTCCAACCATCTGTCTGGGTATGATAAGCTGTGTTGAGAGCAACTCGAGATCCCAATTCACATTTCATACTTGCCTAAAAGTGAGAAGTGAGGCAAGTATCACGATCGGAAATAATCTTTAGTGGCACACCATGTCTCGCGATGATTTCGTCTAAGTAAACTTGTGCGTATTTCTCCATTAGAACCGTTGTATGTATGGCGAGAAAATATGCACTCTTAGTCAGCTGGTCGACAATTACCCAAATGTTATCATTTTATATAGCAGTCTTTGGCAATTAGAGTAGCACCAGGCATATGGTCAATTCGGAATTCTGCTTGCCTATCCGGAGGTATTCCAGGTAAATCTTCGGGAAGATCATCAAGATTTTTATTAATAATGGAAACATCATTTATAGTTTTCTTCCCCTTTCTTGAGATATCAACTGCATTAGCCGGATAAGTAGAATATCCCTTCGTTATAAATTTACGAGTTTTTAAGAAAAAAGTTATTATTTTCAACGTAGACATAAATAGAATCCTCTTCTTCAATAGGGATGCATACTATCTCTTCATAGCACAAAATTTTTGTTTGGTTCTTTGACAACCAATCCATGCCGAGAATAATATCAAAGTTGGGCAAGGAGATAGGAATTAGGTTCGCAAGAAGATTATAACCTTCAATTCCTATGAACACTCTCTCTCTAGACTTTATCAGCAAGTAATGATATATTTCCTATGTTATCTATATGAAATGATTGGACAATTGTGTAACAAGCAATTTGAAAAGAATGTGCGAATTTATAAGGCACAAAAGAATCTGAGGCATCACAATCAAATAAGATGTGAGCAGATCTAAAGTTTACGAGAAAATTACTAATCACAACATTCGAGTCCTAACTTACTTCTTCTGTGGTAATCTAAAATGTACGATATTTAACTTTTGGTTTGCCAAACGATTGTCAAACTCTTTAAACTTCTTAGTTACTAGCGGTGCTCAAACCTGCACCCGCTCATCATTCTCTATTGGGCCTTCGATCCTAATCTTTGAGTTAAAACTCAATTCTCATTGCAGACTCCTGCTCCTTCTTGGTTTATAGACTAAACCCAAGATAAGGCCTTTACTTTTGCTATAACAACAACTCGAATGGTCTTATTCTAATGACCTTTGATTTTATATCACACAAGACACATAACGAACCAAACTCTTGTATTAGAATCAGATCGAATAAATCGAGCTGATGGAATAGAAAAACAAAGAGTTTGATCAACACGTGGATGCTTCAGAACAGAAAGAATAGCACCACGTATCTCTAATTCGTGCTTTCGGACATACACATCAATTTTGTCAAATGACAGAATATTTCGATTGATTACGAAATCACGGATTTCATACTGTAATCCTTCCATGAATAACTAAATTCTTCATCGCCTTCATAACAGGTAACATCTCTAGTTAGTGGTTGCTCAATTCTTTAATGAAGATTGTTATATTTCTATTGACCATCTCGACCATCTCCTTC